AAAGCAACTGACACGCCACTGGGCCGCTACTGGGCCGCTACGGGGTACCAACTGGGCCGTAACCCGTCTCAGGAGTAACTAGTCCAGTTGCTAGGGGGGGGGGCCATAACACGTCGTTTGGCTGCCATAGGGCGTGCCTTACCAGTAGGTCCGTGCCTTACCTGTATTATGTATGCCTCAGATACTAATGGCTCCGCAGAACCTAACTATGATTTATACCGCCCACTGCGATTTGCAGATGCAGCTGCTGCTTCATACATCATGAGACCGGCGCTTGGCTCGTGGCACAACAGGTGAAGTCCCTGTCCGATATCGCGAACACACAGCTGCTGTGGCCGTAGCACAGCCCTGCCGGCGTGCTGCAGCGACTGGTCCTACCCAGCTCCAAGCAGATGTACAAGCCGCCAGAGGGGATGGTGGGAAAGATATCGCTCAGGCGGCGGAACGTCATCATGCCGTACAACTCGCCCTTCCAGGTCTTGGGGCTGAAAAGCGGGTAAACTGAAGTACCATTGATGGTGGCAGCACGTAGCGCCTTGGGCTCCTCGTTGACACAAGTGCTGTCTGTGGTTCGATGCACGCAAGGTTGTGAAATGCATACAAACAGTATTATTATTGTTATTATTATTGTTGTTGCTATCATTACTATATTAACATATTTGTTATTATTACCATTACCATCATTATCATCATTATTGTTAGCACAGATAGGGACAAGGCTCACAGCAGTGCATGCAGCAGTGCAGTGCATGTGTAGTAGCTAGTACAGTAAGGCACACATAACGTCTACAAGTGCGCGCTAAACGCTTCACCAGCATCTCAAGAGGCCTTTTCAGCGGCCAGCTACTACAGCATGCAGCAGTGTAGTGCATGCGGCAGAGGGTGGGGTAGCTATGGGCAACAAGGTAGACAACATGTTTAGCAAAGTTATAGCATGCTAGCTAGCCGATTCACATCGGTATGAAATAATAACAACGATGGATACATGCAGTGTAAGAGCCTAGCTCAGGACTTCGGATATTTCTGTAACACAGCAAAGGCGTAACCCGGGATGCTCAGATTGGCATTTGCGTCGTTACATTGCCCCCCACTTAGCAATGGACGTCCTCGGCCATTATTTCGAGCACAGGAGCCATCCCACCTCGCGCCAGTGCGCTGGTTTATCCATTACACCATGAAATCGCCAATTTGCGACTTGCTGGTTGCCAGAATCGAACCGCCGACCCGAAGTTTTTTTCGGAATTCGTGCGGTCCCGTCTCGATACCATTGTAACACAGCAAAGGCGTAACCCGGGATGCTCAGATTGGCATTTGCGTCGTTACAATTTCCTAGTAGGGAATCCATTCCTTGTCATCATTTCATCGTCAAGGCAAATATCGTACACGCAGGACATAGAAATATCTTTTGTAATCCTTGCAGTTATAGCCGTACTCAGCAGTACATGGCCACGGCCATGGCTGTAACGATCCCGTACCCACCCAATCTATCGATTACTCATTTATCCTACTTATGCTGTCCATGTCCCGGCCCAATTTACTTACTGACGATAAACTCGAGTCTGTTAATGCTCATTCCCGCACAGGGGCTGCCGCTGCTATTTGTGGCTACCAGGTGGAAGCAGTAGGTGGCGGTGGTGGAGGTGACGTTCAGGGGCCCTGTTGGCGTTGATGCTCGGTACGGCGGCCGCAGGTTAGTGTCACGGACACTGCAGGACGCGAAGAAGGGGAAGTTGTCCACAAGGAAGGTGTTGCCCCCGCCGAGTGGGGGTGGCGGTGAGAGCTGCGGTGCCTTGGGAACCTTCGGGGGCTTGGGCGCCTTTGGTGGGCTGGGGGCCTTGGGCGCTTTTGGTGGGGTGGGCGCCTTGGGGGATTTAGGGCTCTTGGGAGGCGGTGGGTGTGGAGACGGCGGGGATGAAGTACGCGAGATAGGCGGCGGTGGGGCGGGTGGTGGTGGAGCGGGTGGTGGGGATGGTGATGAGGATGGTGGTGGTGGGGATGGTGATGAGGATGGTGGTGGTGGAGATGGTGGTGGTGGTGATGATGAGGATGGTGGTGGTGATGGTGGTGGTGGAGATGGCTGTACAGATGGCGGAGATGAAGGGGGCGGGGAAAGGGGCTGGGTACGAGGAGAGGGGGGCTGGGAGGTTGGAGAGAGCTGCACGGGTGGAGTTGGTGGTGGGGGGAGCAGGGGCGGTGGCGGCCTCAGACGAGGCGGTGGCGGTGGCGGCGGGGATGGTGATGACGGGCTGGGTGGTAGGGGAGGAGGAGGCCTCGGTGGGGAGGGCGATGGTGGGGAGGGCGGTGGTGGGGAGGGCGATGGTGGGGAAGGCGATGGTGGCGAGGGCGACGGTGGGGAGGGCGATGGTGGGGAGGGCGATGGTGGGGAGGGCGGCGGTGGGGAGGGCGACGGTGGGGAGGGCGATGGTGGGGAGGGCGATGGTGGGGGGGCGACGGTGGGGAGGGCGATGGTGGGGAGGGCGATGGTGGGGGGGCCGATGGTGGGGAGGGCGATGGTGGGGAGGGCGACGGTGGGGAAGGCGATGGTGGTGAGGGCGATGGTGGTGAGGGCGATGGTGGTGAGGGCGATGGTGGTGAGGGCGATGGTGGTGAGGGCGACGGTGGGGAGGGCGATGGTGGGGAGGGCGATGGTGGGGAGGGCGACGGTGGGGAGGGTGAAGGCTCCGGGCTGGGTGGCGGTGGAGGAAATGAAGGTGGAGGGCTTGGGGGCGGCGGACAAGGGCAGTACCTCATGCCGAACTTGACATAGCCCCAGGCAGTGGGGGAGTCCGGGCAGATGGGGTTGGTAGCATCATTGGCAGCCACCCAGTCAGTTGCCATCCAGGCGGGCAGTGAGCTGTATATATTCATGGGCGATATGCTTTCGGCAAAGAATACAATGTAAAACGTAACGTCTTGGCATGGAAGAACATTAACCACATAACTAAGTACGTAAAACCCTACATCAAATGTTGCGTTTTGGCCTGGCCACCATTGTTTATAACCAAGGTCACGTCTG